ATTGATGGACTTTTGATGTTATGTGAGGTGATCTCATTTCTTTATTTTATTGCGTAGTTTTATTTATTGAAGTGTCTTTAAAGTATAATAGATGCTTGTGTAATGTGCTGTAACTTTCTTTTGTATAAAAATTACTTTAATTTTTTTGACTGAAGATTTAGGTCGAAACAGGAGCTCGTTGAGTAATATCTTAAGTTATTATATGATTTCTCATAGGCATAATGATGTATTTGATAGTACTTATAGTGTTTACTCAAAATCTTGTGTTAGTGTTGTGTTCTATTCGTGACCTTTTCAAGCCTTACTTTTCCCGTTTTGTAGTAAACCCATCAATTTCATCCGGCATTTAATTCGTGATCTACCACGACCACGAATAATTGTTTTTTCCTAATTATCATCTTTACCATTTTCAACTAGAGCAACCGCGTAAGTAATTTGAGAAAATAGACATTACACCTTACAAAATAGTGTTGCTTTTCGTTATCATCTAAAAAAATTGAAAAGATTCTTATCATATTTTATTTAAATTATTACTTTCAAATTTGAATCGTTATTCTAGAACTAGGTACTAAAAAAAAAATATATTTTCTTAATTTCGACTTCAATTACTTTTGCTTATGAAATGAAAGTCATGTAGGTAGGTATATGCACTTACTACATTAAGGCAGCTACGGAAAGAAATTTAAGAAAAGTCAACAGCCAGTTATTGCTACCGTCACTTTCAGTCACTTTACGTATAAATAGCGTACCTACATTTCTATTATATTCTGCAAAATATACTAAATTTCCACTTACGTCAGTTATAACTGGCGGAAATATTTTTACGACCATAAAATGCTAGAAAGTTCTCATTTTATTTTCTTGAATAAATATAATGTACCTAAGTGACACTTATTTACTTATGCATAGTGAATTTTACTTCTGATTTAAGCTAAAGACTTGAATCGCTTCAAGGATGTATCGATATTAATGAAAATCTCATAATAATACATATACCTATACATAACATCACGCCTTTTATCCCCGAGGATAGGCAAAGGTACACATTACGGCACTTAATGCCACTGTACATACAATATAGCACCCACGTTGCACTATTTATGTTATGAGTCCCATGCAATAGGGGGCGAGCCTATCACCATATACCGGGCACATTTCCAAACTCCGTGCTACTACTGAGGTTTTTGAAAAACCCAGCAATACTTTTCCCGGCCCAGGAATCGAACCCGAGACCCCTTGTCCGACAGTCGCACTTGCGTCCACACGGCCAACGTGGCAGTCTCATAATAATTTGTGATATAAATAATAATTTCGCTACCATTTTGCGTATTAATGCATTTCTTGATTTTATATTTCATTTATAACACAACCCACTTAACTAATTTCTTTCAACCAAAACCTCCCTTATAAAGTTAAGGTTACTAAATGTATGTACCTAATATGTCTATAGAAATTATAACATTACCGAAAAGCCTCCACAAGAAGTATTTCCTTTCAATTAGTTTAAATAACCAAAATAGGTCATTACATTAAGTCTGTGTATCTTTTGTTTCTCCTCAAACTTCATTATTGAAACGTAATTCACTTGTTACGGCATTTCAAGCCTTAAATGTTCTTTCCAAAAGTCCATAACATGTTTAGAATTTTACCGAATTGCTCTTAAAAGTTTTTCCATTTACCTATTTAAATGTAGATTGGTTTTTTTGGATACTTTTTGCTCAGTAAGTTTATTTTCAGCTCAATTCAACCACAACTTATCAAATGTCTTTATTTGTTGATTAGCTTACTTCTACTATTATTGCTATTCTTATTATAAATGTGAAATTGTATTTTTTCGCCATGGTGAGATTTTATGGTATGATCTATGTGTCTGGATACAGTTAAGAAGCTGATGAGTGATAAAGATTTTTTATCACTACTCTATTATTGATATTTAATAACGAGGAACAACGAGGGAGCGAGATAGATGGCGCGCATTTAAATTTTGATCTCACAGTTCTCCTATTGGTCAAATAAATATGCAATTCAGGTCAGCCTAGCCACTAATTTTGATGTGTACAAAATATATAAATAAGGTATTATCTTTATTAAAATAGTAAGAATTTATTTCCCTAAGTATCGCGAGTTTGATTTCTGCGGATACCCATTTCCAACAAACCTGAACCTTTTTAAATTATGATCTTCAACTCAGGACTTTTGTGTAGAAGAAGATCCAGAAGATAGTCATGGGCTATTGATGATGAGTTTACTATTAATAAATGTAGTAGAGGCAGAGTATTATCTCCATGATTATGTAAAAGATGTGCCTACATATTTTTCTATACAAACCTACGTTGGTATCTGATACTACGTTCTCACATCAAAAAACCCAACATACTCATAGCAAATTCACAATCGTAGGTAATCAAAAAGTTTTATACCTTTTACCGTTAAAGAAAAATACTATCGTGGAAACAAAAGCACAATACGGCACCGGATTCCGTCCTACATTTATGGAAACTGTAACATGCTGACAAAGTAGCTCTATTATGAGAATCTGGTGATGATGGGTGTCTGCCAGTCTACCTGTGATAGTACTAATGAGGTTCATTCAAGATAACTATATGATTGTTAGCTTGTAATCTTGTCTTGTCATCGTAAATGCCTCGTTGTTGTTATAATAGGGTAGTTTACTAAATTTTATTTTAATGTCCGTCTGGTAAATTATTTTAAAACATTAGACATGTATTTTTTCTTTTCTCACAAAATTTACGATATATTGATTTGAAACGTCGCGTGACGTCACAGCGTGCTACAAAATGTACCACGTTGTGACGTAACTACCTCCCACTCCTAAACTTAACGCCATTTTATTTAAGGATTGTAACTAAAACAAGAAAATAAAAAATACATTAGTTAGATATTTTTCATTATCTAACTAACGGACTAATTAGATTTTTAATTTTCTTACCGTATTTAATTTTATGTTTATCCCTTGTTTGTCTTGTCTCTCATGAGGTTAAGTACCTATAGTCGTTTTGCTGTTGATCAATAATAAAGTTCTATACTGAGAAAATGGTCAGATATTGTAAAAATCGTATAGGATGTTGATTAAAATTGGTTTAATTACAATAATATTGTATCTAAATGTGAGTTTCGCTGTTTGGATGTTTGTCAGTCAATCACACTGCAACTACCTACTGAACGGTATTTGATGAAATTTGGTATACAGACAGGGTATGGGCTGACTTAGGTGATAGGATACTTTTTATCCTGATTAAATGCTCCCAAGGGATAAAACGGTAATCATATTTTACGCGAACAAATGCGCGGGCAACATTTACTTTAGAATAAATTTAGGTAGTGTAGAACAGAATAGTTTAGGCTAACGATGTTCTCGAAGAAATAAGTAATACATCAAATATGAAAGAAGTGTAAACACCTTAAAGCTTCTAAGCCTAGCGTACCTATTGTTTTGAAAACAATAATTATACTTCATTTTAATGGCTTAATTTCGGCTTATTTTTAATGGACGAAACAATAGAAAGGTTTGCGTATTATTACCTTAATGTTTATAGCCTTACATTGTTTGGAAGCGTCTAAAATGTAGGTATCTCAGTCCCACGTGTTTTTTCGTAGGTATTAACATAATCTACTGTCATTTGAATGGCAATGTGTGAGATATACTCGTCTTCTCATACAATTTGAATGTTAAATTAAAATCTTAAGAAAGTTGAAATGGGCGTTTCTGTTGTGATGTCTTATTATTTTTGTGGAACTTTCATTATATTATTGTAGGTACACAGATACGGTTTTATTGTGTATTTGAGTTATTTTCATAATCGATATTATGTTTTACGGAAATCCATAAAGAGTTGAAAGTTTAGAAGATAAAGAGTTGAATTTTCTCATGTGAATCATTAGTCGTGTAACATAAATAATAATCAATAATACCTAATTAGAAACAATCATTTTTAAAATCCTCTTCTAAAATTCCTAAACGACATTATAAGGGTGCGTCCACATCTAGTAAATCTGCCGCGAATGCGCAACTTGCGAGCCGCTGCGTGCGTACAGTTACGGCAATGGTTTGATTGGGTGGTGGCACATGCACAAAAATGCACACGCGCAGCTCACGAGCGGCACACGAGCGGCTCGCGAGCTGCGCATTCGCCAGATATGGATGCACCCTGATTATTTAGTTATTTATATCTGTATTATGTAGGTCTCCAACAAATTATATCCTAAGCTCAAACTCAAGCGTTCACGACTAGCCTTCTTTAAACACAACAATGCACTTTCCAGTCAAGTGCTAATGGACATAAAACTTCGTCTAAACAAGAATATAAAACTCATACATTTCGAAACGCTTTGAGATTACGTAGAATAATATATGAAAGGAAATTTTCTATACATAGTTTACTTATAAGTAGTGAATTTTCTCCAAATAGGAGGTAATGATCTACTCTGATCTACTCTATCTATGAATAAGTTATTGTTTTCAAAGGTCTATTATAGTATTTTACCCAACATTTTCTTTCAGTGAAGTGTTGTGTGTGTTGTTGTTGTCTGAAGTATGACTTGTGACATTGTTCATCTCACGAGTCTTACGTGGCAAGACCCGAGCAATATATTAAACAACTAAAGCAGATTCTTACCTTGATTCTTTGTACAATTTTAAAACATCGAGGAAACTTAAATTTTTCCAACCCTGACATTAAACAATAACTTAACATCACGCCTTTTATCCCAGAAGGGGTAGCTAGAGGTGCACATTACGGCATTTAATGCCACTGTACACAGTACAATGTAATCGCCACTTTTCACTTTCTAAATTATGAGTCCCATGTAATAGAAGGTGAGCCTATTGCCATATACCGAACACAATTTCAGACTTCGTGCTACTACTGAGATTTTTTTTAAAACATTAAACAGTATTGTTCATAAATATGAATGTTTGTTTTACATGACATAGTTTTTTAAGTAAGTAATCCTAATAATCCTATTTTTGTTGTTCACAGATAAAGATGCGGTGTCGACGCGGCTTAGCTATAGGCGTCCTGCTTATATTACACATGGTAAGATTACAATTCTCAATAACAGAATATTTAATTAAAATAACCTTATAATTACAATCAAGAAAGATTTGGGTAGATTTTGGAACTATCTATTAATATTGAGCAATTAACTGCTACATTTACTGCTCGGTTGGTGCTCGGCAACGTGTAGCGGGTTCAATTCCCGCACGGATCAACTCTTTGTGTGATCCACAGATTATTGTTTCGGGTCTGGGTGTCATGTGTATGTGAACTTGTATGTTTGTAAACGCACCCACGACACAGGAGAAAATCCTAGAAACAGCTAATAAAAAAATAAACGCATATTAAGGTGTGATGCTTAATATGCACCTTAATAATTTATGACTATTAACTTTATTATATCCAGCAACCATTATAAACCAACACTTCTTTTATTGGTTAAACAACACCAACATCCATTCTAACCAATAAAATTCAAATCGCGACAAAAATAATCCGATCACGTACAATCACCAAATTAATTCAGCCAATAGGAAAGTAGAAAGGCGTATTGTTATTAAATAATTATGAATAACATAATACTATCTAATTGTTGATGCTAATGTCTTATTGTTGGGGCGGGTCTGTACCTCCCACTACAAGTATGGACACTGTTTTTTTTTATTTTCTGGTTAGCAAATAAATAATAGTGGTCATTGTTCACTTAAAAAGAAAAATCATCTTAAAATAACCATTTCCTATCTCTCAAGTACCTGTCTCATTTTTGCAACATGTCAAGTAATTTTTGCATGGATAAGTTCATAATATTCTTCAATAAAATAAAATAAAATTTCTATATTGAATATCTTTCGCTTGTGATCGCCAGGTGTTGTAGACATCCACTTGTGTTATTGTGATGTGATGTTCTTGAAGCTATAGTCATTATTACAAAACTATTATTTGTAAGTATTATAGAAATTATCTTATAACTATAATTATTATCAAGTACATAATTATAATATTATAGAGATCGACACACTTTGAATGATCTCAATTTAACAAACTACTTACAAAAATAAAGGTAACAAAATCACAGATTGACACAACATGAAATCTCATTCGTAAAATGTAACTCCACCATCGAATAGGGATGTCGCGACCACATCTCAATTTATCGATAAAAATGTAAACGTTATCTATCGAACCGAACTCCATTCTTTGGCAGCGCTGCACAAATTGAATTTGGAACACTGTGGTTCGCGTGTTGCAATGTTTGTGTATGCCAGTATTTCACTTAAATCAAATCTGTTGTTTAACTTGACCCATTTCGCTTGGACAGTGGTGTACAGCTAGCATTTAGTGATTAACGGTATCTCATCGGCTTTTATTAATGCTATATGAATTTGCATTGCGATTTCTCAACATCAATCCGATTGTGTTGGAATATTTTAAGCCTGAGTTTTTTGACTGCAATTCACAGGTGTATAATTGTTAGAGTTTTGTCAGTTTTGCTTTTTGAAATGTTATTTAAACTGTCAAATACCAAGCGGTCACCGGTGACCGCAACCTATTGTTCTATAATTGTGTCTATAACGGTACTCAACGAGTTAAATAACAATTACAAGTTAAATGTTTTATCGAGACTTAATGAGATCAGTCTAGAAATAGATAAAGTTTTAGTTTGACAAATAAAGCAATAGACCCGTTCCATACTAGCCTAAATCTTCATAGATTCTTTAAATAGTCGATAGGCAAAATAAATCATTTAACCAACGGGGCAATCAATACGAATGTAACATATTATTAATAAATAATATAGACTACAGAGATGATTAGACGTTAATAAACAGACCATGCAAGATTCGTGTTGTATTCTACCGTACCGTAACAACGGATCGGTGATCTCCTTATTGAGAAAAATTACGTGTATCCGTTATGTGAACAAAAATTCATGTATTTCATACTTCTTTGTATTGAATTTGGAACTAGATATAAACTCGATTTATATGTAGGTGTCTGTGTAATGATACTCTTCTTTTTTAATATCTTTCACTCGCCGATAGGTACACGTGTTATACCTAAGGATATTTCGGATTACCTAAAATTTTCCGATTAGGACCAAACGGAATCGGTCTCTCAACCAACGACATACTCTCTAATAAATAGAAATGTTGTCGTGTCGTGTGTATCGATAACTTTTTTAATACAATTCGGGAAGGTTTGGATATATTGAGGGGTATCCCTAAGAATAGTATTATACGGATGAAAAGAAGAAAAACAACATTATACCTATAATAATATTCTAGACAAGAACAAGGTAGAGATTCCTGTAGCCTAGATCTGAGCCAATTTAACAACTATTGATTTCCACTGGAACCACGGAAATACCTATTACTGGGATATTAGCTTCTGAGAAAATTCTCTGAGGAAAAGTAATTGATGTTGGTAGTACAAGCAAGTTCAGATATATTCTTTGAATTTAGTATACGAACTGAAAATATTAAATTCATATTCGATTCTTGGAATATTTGTTCTGGAATAAAATGGCGATGTTATTGGTTCAAGAAAGTTCTGATTTAAGTAGTTGCTTGAGGATTCTCAGCTTAGTACGGAGTTCGTGTTACATTGTAATAAAACTCGTGTTTAATATTATTAGTAAACTAATTCATTTCATTCAGTTATGGAAGGTTAAAGTGCGTGTCAAATTCATTAGCGGTACCTTAATATGTTTTGTTTTATAAATAGTTTTATATGACATTCATATTCATATGATTAAATTTAAAAAAAAAAATATCAGTCGTCATATCGAATTTTACAAATGTTATTATTTACTTTTATTTAAGTGATTCAACATTTTTGTAATATGTATATCAATGAAATTAATAGCTTAATATAAAAATATAATAAACATGACCATATAATGACCATGACGTAGTCACGTACGAACATTTATTTTGGTACTGAAACCACAGAGCAGGGAAAAGAGATTGCTTTTTCTTTTTCTAATAGGTAAACAGAATGCACGCTCACAAAACTAGCTAATTACGACAAATATATTAATTCGAATAGTAAACCGTATCGTGGAAGTGGAGCACTCGTAAGAAAGTATTCATCACGCTTTTGTGAGTTTGTGGTCAGTAGTAGAATATAGCCTACATATAATAGCATGATGTGTGTAATTCTACACTACATATATTCTTTGTTTTGAAACGAATTTTCTCCACAGTGTGAGTGAAGTATAAAGGTATTGTTCCAACTTTTCTATGAATACTAATGTTATACATAGTATCAAAACCATGGGCAATATAATATATTCATAAACTAAAGTATTAAATTTATCTACGGTAGAAAAAATACAAACAAGAATGTATCGCTGTCTTCTAAATCTACAAGCAATCAATCAATTCTAATATGAATAACAGAATATAAATGACTGAACCATATACTATAGAACGACGATAAAACTGTCATAGTACTAGAGACAAATATTGGCATAATAAAACTATTAACTGCTTTACGATACACAGTAGGATAAATAGCAACATTTTTCACTTGATTCGTTGGAAAGTTAATCAACTTAATCGATACCGTTTAAGGTACATCACTAGAGGCCGGCAAACCACCGTATCGAGTGTTTGCGTTATTTTCACAAAAATTGCTATAAGTTAAGTGCGTCGTTTAGTTATATGCGAACTGTTTTCTAGCCATTCTCGATGGTCGTTTGTATAATGTTTGTTTGCAAGCATTTTTGCTTTGGCCTTGAAATGTGAAAGCATTTAAATGTATGGCTGTTATGTTTTTCTTATTGTTTTACTCTGTCACTGATTGTTGAGAAGACTATTCCTTATTTTTAGTATCGTTGTTACTCTTTTGTTGTTTTAGCTACGTAATTCTGTAGTAATAATTGTTGATAGCTGCCATTATTTTTCGTTTCATTTGGCAGTGCAATATTTTTAACTACATATTTCTAGTACAACTTTAAGTATATTTTATGTTTTGACTTATCATAATAATATAACAATGAGTTTTGTGTAGGAAAGCGCTTTCCTTTTGTGATACGAACGCAATTTTTTAACAGTCATAGTTATTTCAACTCTTAAAAAATGCTAGATAGATAAATGCAATTTAACAGTATGACTGCCGACAGAAAACTGTTGAAGGTTAAATAACTCTGCTATCGTGGCCCATACCTTGTCCCCCATGGCGTTCAAGGTGTTAAAGAAAATAAATAAATAAAATGTGTTTATTTCCTTAAATTTGTACAATTAAGTGCTGGGGCATGCAAGAAAGTAATCCAAAGATACTTGTGATGGGATAAACCTCGCTCCTCCTCCATTAATTACCATTTTGGTTGTACTAATTAAGTGCAAGTTTTTATAATACTACTAGCGTCCCGTTCCGGCTTCGCACAGGTGCAATATGTATGTATTATACATATAAACCTTCCTCTTGAATCACTATCTATTAAAAAAACTGCATCAAAATCCGTTGCGTAGTTTTAAAGATTTTAGCATACAAAGGGACACAGAGACAGAGAAAACGACTTTGTTTTATACTGTGTACTGATAAAAAAAAAATTGAAAATCGTGTTAATGGCTGTGTGTGAAAACTAGAATGTGTTTTATGTATATGTATATTATGTATGTTTTACGCGATTTTATAAGTGTTTGAGTGAATTTTATCTACCTACCTTGACTCTTCATCTCTCAAATACCTTTAAAATCCAAATTAGTACGGCACAGCTCACGATATCGGAAAATAGTACAAGATAGATGGAATCTAATACGGTCATCGGGTAGGACCCCCAAATATGGGCACGCCGACCCACTGTGCTGACGGACGTAGCCGGTTCCGTATGTCTCAACTATTTACCTGCTTATCCTAAGAAGGGAAAGTAAGAAGGCTACTGAACTGATCACAAAACATACATTGTAAGAAATGATACCATTGACGAAGTACTTTGTACAGAATACTACTAAACATTTTAATAATAAACACTTTATTGTACACCATTTACAAAAGACATAAACAAGAAAAATATTAGCGACTAGTTATTTCCG